TTCACACATACGTACATCAATGTGTTTAACGCATTCCGAGAGTAATATAAATTGCGTCTCTTGATCGACTATATAATTGGAAGTCTTGCGCAGTACACAAGGAAAACATACAAAAGGATATTTCGAGCGCGTTAAGGAAATTTTGTGTTGAAACCGCGCATTCTTGATTTTCGGAAAACCTATTGTGAGTTTCGGGGTTTCTTGGGAAGGAAACTTCTCGAGTCTTTGGCTTTTACGAGTCACGCGGTAACACATACAAGGAAAAAAAAGAAAAAAACTCCGTGAAATTATAATTAGACTATATAGTAACATCTATAATAAAATACACCACATGTGTACGCGTATATGACATTTTTTACACAAAATTCAACAATAAGCTTCGAAAATGGGAATCTTTGACATCAAGTTTGGTATGTGTTTTCTATACAATTTTTATGAAATTTCCTCAGGGTTCTTGTGAACCAACCCAAATACCCATTGATACATTTTCAATCTCCGGTACGAAGACAACGTGCAATTCAGTGTGAAGGCTGCCTAAGAGTGCCCGGGTGGCGCGCAAATATCGGGGTGGTGCTGCGGCCTGGGAGGCGAAAGAGCTCTGCTCTGACTCTCTCTCTCTCTCTCCTCCCCCCTTCTTTCTCTCTCTCTCTCTCTCTCACTCACTCACTCGCTCGCTCACTCACCCTATCTCTCCACGTCGGCATCTATCGACCCACCCCCGGCGACAACGGAGCTTCCACCGCCCTGGAAAGCTTCCGCGCTTGGCGCGTACACGTTCGTCAGTTCAGACGAAGGGAAAACTTCCCTCGTCGATGGTGTACGTCGAAGAGGTTGAGAAAGAAGAAGGGTGCGACGATCTCCATCGTTGTATCTTTCCGCAAGGCAAAGGCGCGATATATCGATTAGCGCCGGAGAATCCGTGTTAGCCGAGAAAACGTCTTAACGTCTTGAAATAATATAAGAACGTTCATATTCGTTTTTATAGCCGAAAACGAATTGTTTTTGCTTGCGAGATACGCGAAGCGTATACGTTAAACGAGTTTACAAACGCGGCTATCAATATTATTTGGATATATTTATTCGGCGCTTGAGAGAGAGCGCATCCGAATATATAATAAATACACTTAATAATCTTGAGTCATTTTGGAATTGATTTGCATGGATTAACATAAATATTTCTTGGATTGAACGATCCAACGTGGCGTCATGGCGTTTGTGCTGTGCACGCAAAACTGCATATATGTATTTTTGTGCAGTGTGTGCAGTTATTGAAAGAAAAGAAGGCTTTAATATAAAAACAAAGTATATGCTAAAGTTTTACGTAGTTTTTTTTATTATTTCGTGGATATGTTAAGCGTTTTTAGCGCGCGCGATCGTTCTGTGTAAATTATCATCTTCTTCTTCCTTTTTCTTATTTTATCTATTTATCTATCTGTCTGTCTCGTAAGCGTTATTGCTTAAACGAAAAAAAAAAAAAAATGCCTTAGCACGATAGTCATTTCCAGCGTCGTCTGTCTTTTCTTGCAAACATAAAAAAGAGGCAGCAGAGAGATAAGAAATATGATAAGAGAAATAAATACCTTTTGCATTACTCACCGGACTTGAATTTACATCTTGTCTCTTGCCGATTCTCTCGCACGCACGTATATTTTGCTCATTTATTTTTTAATACGTGGCGCAATTTACAATTCAGATCGTTTATTTTTACTTGTGTGTGTGTGTTTTTTTTTCTTTTTCTTTTTTTTTCTTTTTGGTCAGTGTCTAGTCGGTTTTTCTTGCATCAACCGTTGGACATCTGCTTTGAAGCAACCTTGGGAAAATTAAAAATTTAGATTTTTACGATGTCAAAAATCACAGAGAATATCGATTTTATGCAGCAATATTTTCTACAAAATTTCGATGAATTTATCGTTTTTATTGAAATGTTAAAGTTCTTCCGCTTCTTTTGCGAGGAGGAGAGTTTAATTGAATAATAATTGATAAAACAAAAAATTATCTGAATTTTTCGTCGATAAAACAAAACTCGTGCGCGCGCGTGCGTTAATTTTACACTCGTCTGACTATAAACTCTCGTCGCGTTGACTTGTTCATTCATTAACTCGCTTTTCCTGTTCGCGGCCAAGAGTCGATTTGGATCCCGCGCGCGATCTCGCAAAATCGTTGCCAACGAACGTTGCCGTTCCGACACAATCAGAATGTTGAACGCGGACTAATATTAACCTGCCAGTGTTCGCCACACGAACACGCATCGCTTGAAATTAAAATAGCGTGTCTACTGTGTGTGATACCCAGATTCCATTGCTGTGTTTTGCTTGCGGGCAATTTTCCTTATTTTTTGCATTGTCAAAATTTAAAATCAATCTCTTCTTTGAAAATATTCCTGAAAAAAAAAAAAAACAAATGCTCCTCTTCGATGAAGGAGAAAAAATAGAATGACAAGATTGATTACATCGCTTCAAAAGAACAATACAAGCTGTTAATTTATATTTTTTTTCTTTTTTTTTTCTCGCTTTAAATTAAATACGAAATATGAACTGATATAATTTTTTTTTATTAACGGAATCTCTACATGGATTATATTAATCCTTCACGGACAGACATGAATCTTCTAGACCAACTCAAAATTTCAAACCGATGTCTCTGATAAAAATTAGTGTTTTTTTAAACGCTTATACCTTCATAACTACTAGAGATTCAGTTTGTTTTTTTATTTTTGGTTTTTTTACTGACGCAGAATCGTTCAAACTTGTGCAATTAAAAAAACAAAATATAAAAAATATTGATTTTGTTGCGGAGATGTTTGATTTTAAAGTCGTATGCGTCTCACAGACTTAGTCTGTGACTCGTAGATCATTTTTGAGGTCTATACAAGAAGGGTTAATTGCAATTGTTACAGCAAGTGGCAGGATGAACAAATAAAAAAAAAGTATTCGAAAGTATTTTATTTAATTTCCTAGAGAGAAGATAAAAACTCAAGGGAAGTTCCAGAAAACAGTTAATTAATTTTTATCACACCTGTTCGACCGTGCTGCGCATGATGTCGCGCGTTAAACGTAGTTTCGCTGTAAAATTAGCGCGATGCACTCATTGGGACCTAATCATCGTTGACATTGATCGGCGACGGAAACGTAACTCAGAACGAGGATATAAACTTCAAAGCGAGTCTTAAGCATCTAGGCAAACAAGCACGACAAACGCACGGTTTCTGTATAGTGTAATCGCGCTGTTGTTGCACGTGCGAGTTTCGTCATCGCACAATAACTGTCGGAGATTTATGCTAGTCGGGGGTTAACGAAGTTGACAAATGTGTTCCAAACAGGTTCTTTCCTTAGAACACCAATAATTGACGGTCTCTCTCTCTTTCTCTCTCTCTCTCTCTCTCGTTCGGAAGACGAGAGATTTGAGAGAGCTTACACTCGTGTCACTTTCTGATTTAATATGTGAAGCAAATTTGCCCAAAAAATAAAAACATTCCTAAAAATAAAAGATTTTGTTACCTTGTTACTCGCTAAAAGAATGGATTTTTGTACGGACTTGTTTTTTTATTTTTTATTTTTTTTTTTTTTTTTATCGTGCGATGCAGAACTGCGGCTGCTCCCGTCGAGGGATGCGTTTTTTCGATTGATGACACACGACCGTCTTTATCAATATAAAGGGGCACACGTACCCTTCGTATGTCCGGTGGCCTTTTTGCATCCCCATTAAGACGAAGAAAGGCGTGTTTGTGGGCGCACGAGGCGTCTTTTCTTGGCGAACGCGCATAAAAAAGCTCTCTCTCTCTCTTTTTCTCTCTCCTCTTTGCACCCGGTGTGCCTTGCGTGCAATGGGATCGATTCAGGTTACGCTTTGCGCGGCCAACGTTATTACAGCCGGAAAGTAACAAACACTCCTCCCATTCGATGGAATCGTGAGAGAGAGAGAGAAAGAGAGAGAGAGAGAGAGAGAGAGAGAGAGACAGAGAGAGAGAGAGAGCGATTCCTCGAAATACACGATACTTGGAAGTTGGCGAGACTCGTTAATCGCGATCGCTTAATTTTAATGAGGGCTTCTTCGTCGAAAGGAAAGAAAATATACGAGGAAGAGCATTGATCGGCGGAACTCCCGCCGATAACACGTATCGATTGACAAGCAAAATCGAAGCAAACTACGGAAAATTGTTGCAACGCGAAGTTAGTTAATGAATTAAATCGCGAAAATTCGCGCGCGATGTTCGAGTTTTCGATTTTGTCATTTTTTTTTTTTTTTTTTTTTTTAATTTAATTTTTCTGTAGGTTCTTCGATCACTAAGAGATCATCCAATTGTTTTGTTTACTTCATTGATGCAAATAAAACAATCGGGTAATCTTTCAGTGATCAAAGAACTTACAGTTCTGTCTCTGAGCTTCTTCGGCGGTTTAGCGCGCGAAACCGCACATCCTTAAAAATGTTAAAATCTTTTTTGTTCAAAGGGAGAGAGGAATCTCTATGTGCAAAGCGTTACATTGTTATAATATTAATATATCGCCCCGTCACACACATTGCGTCGCGCTGATATACATTTGTAAGAAGGCGCTACGCGCCAAGCCGACCGCGGCGCGTTCATTCATGATTTTGCAAGGAAAAGACGGGCCGCGACGCGCGCCACCTACACGCCCGCCCGTCCGTCCGTCCGCCGACGACGACGCCGGTCACTTTCATCTGGTCGTCATAGCCGTCCCGTCATTTCTCAGAAACAGATAATTTTCTGCGCGAACCGAAGCGCCAATATGAATATTGCAACAATTAACGAACATTTTTCTTTTCCACACGTTTGCAGACAACAACAGAAATATTACTCATTTTTTTTATGATATACTTTTGTTTGACAAGACGCATCTGTCTCTTTTGTGTGTGTGTGTTCTTTTCGGGAGTCAGAAAATTGCACCCACACATTTTTGTTTTGTGTCAAAGAGGCTCTTTGTTTTTATTTTCTCCAACAATGAGATAACAAGGTTAATCCAAGCAAAAACTTTATTTCGCAGGCACCGGCGAGTCGGGCAAATCCACGTTCATTAAGCAGATGAGGATCATTCACGGTTCCGGTTACTCGGACGAGGATAAGAGAGGGTTCATCAAACTCGTGTACCAAAACATTTTCATGGCGATGCAGTCCATGATCCGGGCGATGGATCTTCTGAAGATCGCGTATGGAGAACCCTCGAACGTAGTGCGTATGCCGTTTTTTTTTTTTTTTTTTTTAATTTAATTTTTCTGTAGGTTCTTCGATCACTAAGAGATCATCCAATTGTTTTGTTTACTTCATTGATGCAAATAAAACAATCGGGTAATCTTTCAGTGATCAAAGAACTTACAGTTCTGTCTCTGAGCTTCTTCGGCGGTTTANGATGGATCTTCTGAAGATCGCGTATGGAGAACCCTCGAACGTAGTGCGTATGCCGTTTTTTTTTTTTTTTTTTAATCTCGCTGATTACCCATACACACAATGCGTTTTTAAAAAAAGAGATTTTTTTCTTTACAAATTTTGTATTAACAAATGAAAAGATTAATATCGAGCAAAACACAGAAGATTAAATAATTAAGATTAAATAATTTTTATTTTAAGAAATTACACGCGCAAAAGTTGCATAATTATGCGAAACGAACTCGTAACTTGAGTCTTCATCACAAAAACATAAAAAATATAAAGACGAAAAGAACAGAAAGGCCGCAATTAATATAGACAATAAAAACGCAAAATGTTATAATCGAATTTCGCGTTCAACATCGTTTGCAAATTTGTATATTCAAACAACATTTGACGAGATTTGATCATCGGAATTATTGCCGCGGTTACACTTGATTTGTTTATAATATTTAATATTTTAAGTTAATTTGCAATCCAAGTCAGGAGAAATCATACGGCGGATACTGTACAGGTGTTGCAGGATGTTTTGGAGTTAGATTATCGAATAAAAAATTCCCAAAACTTAAGCGCTGTTTTTTATTCGATAATTTGACTGCACAAAATCCTGCAACCTGTACGGTATCACCGTACGATTTTTTCTGATTTGAGGATTTTTCTGAACTTGAGGTTTTTTCTCTACGTTTTTATTAATTTGTAATATTTTTCACTTGTGCGTCGCGAACATCGTCGTCTCAGATAACACAAGCATTCTAAAGTCCGTCACACTATATATAGACGCACATCGCACTTAGGTCAATTTACGCTTTTAAGGGTTAATTAAAGTTAATCGTATTATATGCGTCGAGTACTTAAGAGGTCAACGATAACCTCGTATCGCGCATTTAATATCGCATTCCGATACCGCCCGGAAATCCCGGTTTTTGCTTTGTTTCCGGGGAAAATACTTACGACATATCGCGCTTCTCGCCACCAGGAAAAAGCGGAACTCGTGCGGAGCATAGACTTCGAGACGGTGACGACGTTCGAGAGTCCCTACGTGGAAGCGATCAAGGACTTGTGGGCGGACAGAGGTATACAGGAGTGCTACGATCGTAGACGGGAATATCAGCTCACGGATTCCGCCAAGTAGTGAGTATTTCGGTTGTTGCTGCTCTTCTCCTTTTCTCGTTCGCGCGCGAAACCGCGCAAATTCTCTCGTCTACGTGTCTTATCAAGCGCCGAGAAGTGATTATTTCCCCTTCCCTTCTACGTCTCTTATACACACACATCGGTCTGAAATTTTTCGCATAAAGAAACTACACGCGGTGTCGTATACAAAATATATCGCTCACCGCGTGCGTTATTTCCTGTTTCTCCTGCGGAGAGATTTTGTTTCTTTTTTTGTTGATCGAGTTTCCTTTGAATCTTGTTTGAACGTGCGCCTAAACCCGATCACGTTTTGTGCAGACTTGCTGAGCAAATCGCCTTTCTGACACACTCAACGTGAGACGAACCACGAACATGCTCTATTCTTCCAACTGATTGGTTTTTTACCCTCCATCTTTTCCATGCCTGTGTTTTTCACCCCCTTCGTTTTCTTTTCCGTCCCGTCATCCCTCCTCCTCGCCCACACATTGGGTATTGAGAACACGATGTTTCAGTTACCTAATGGAGGTAGATCGAGTCGCGGCACCAAACTATCTTCCCACAGAACAGGACATTCTTCGTGTGAGAGTACCCACCACCGGTATAATTGAGTATCCCTTTGACTTGGAAGAGATCCGATTTAGGTACGTGTGCGGTCGGCCGACAGCGATGATGATGTTGATGATGATGATGATGATGATGAGAGAAGAAGCGCGCCTGCCTGCAAATACGCCTGCAAATATATACCACCTGCATCGACCAGTTTCTGCATCCCTTCTCTGTCTCTCCTGATTTTTTATATATATTTGCTGCACCCGGAACTCGTTGCTCCCGTTTAAATGTTCGCCTGTTTCTCCCGTGATGCTGTTCCGTGACTTCTTCAACAAAAAAGAAAAAATTCGTAAAATTATATTGTCAAGATTGTAAAAAAAAAACGCGCTTTGAATGAATACAAATTGAATATTGTGAAAGAAAAAGAAACAGCAAGTCACTGGGCATCAGCGTCAAAAAACCCTTTCAGGCCTGAGCCGATGGACAAAAAGCATGTACAAGAGCTGTTCAGACAAGAGGGATTCTCTTCACTCTATGTGTTTTATTTACGATTACCTATTTAAATATATATTTTTAAGTGTAACCACGCATGGCATGCACTTCCAAACGGCAGCTTTTTGTTTCGTTTTGCAGTTATCTTAGTGATCTAGAACGTATCGAAAAGCCTGATTTCCTCCCGACCGAGCAAGACATCCTCCGGGCACGAGCTCCCACCACCGGCATTATAGAATATCCGTTTGATCTGGACTCCATCATATTTAGGTACTAATAATAGTCTCAACTCGATTATACTCCTTTGGACGTACATTCGAGTTCTTTTCTTTTCTTTTTTTTTCTTTTTCTTTACCATCACGAAAACCATATTTCCTTACACAAAGAACACTGAAATGAACATACACTATTTTATATATATATTATTTTTTTCTATCTCTTTTCTTAGTTAGTTATTTTGTTTTGAGAAGCTTCAACGTTTGCATGTTTTCTATACACGTATATATTTATACACACATACACACACACACACATATATATATATATATGTTTTATAGTTTCTGATTATATAAAATTTTTCTGCTAAATGCTACTGCATGTGGTAAACTTTTTTATGTCAGTGGTATTCTTTATTATATAGCACAATAATTTCAGCAATGAACTTTAGAGCCTCTTATAAATATTTGCATCAGAATAATTACATGTTTTTCATCAAACCACGTAGGGTAAAACAGGGTGAATCACGTGGAGCAAACTAATGTTTACTGTGCCTAAAACTAGTTCCAGCTCCAAATTAATGTTTACTGTGGAACCTAAAAGATTCTTTATTAATGTTTACCGTGTTACGTTTTTTTAAAAGAGACAAAGAAAGAGAACACACACATTAGTGTGTATCTCACAATAGCGATCCATTGCGGTATGATTCGCCATTGGGTTGTAAAGAGCGCGCCTGCGAAGAGTTCATTCTCTGACCTGATTCACCCTAGATTGTGCCCTACACGTTTTCTGATCAAAAGAGCGCGTAGAAACTATTCGATATGCAGATTGTATTTTTTATATAAGTGAAATGTAGATTTTTTGTAATCTCTTCTGTTGTTAAACGATAAGCTCCGTGTAACCGAACGTTATTTGCAGGATGGTAGACGTCGGTGGACAGAGGTCGGAAAGAAGAAAGTGGATCCATTGTTTCGAGAATGTTACTTCGATTATATTTTTAGTAGCTCTAAGTGAATATGATCAAATTCTATTTGAATCGGAAAACGAGGTAACTATGACACTTCGATATTGTAAATCCGGTAAATATATGCCTCGAGCAATTACGGTCTCGAGCGCGGATAAAAAGTGTAAATTGATTTTCTCGTTCTATTTTTTTATTTTGCAGAATCGAATGGAGGAAAGTAAAGCGCTCTTCAAAACGATTATAACATATCCCTGGTTTCAACACTCCTCCGTTATCCTGTTTTTAAATAAGAAAGATCTGCTAGAGGAAAAGATCATGTACTCTCACCTTGTCGACTACTTTCCGGAATACGATGGTAAGTTTTGTAATAAAATTAAAATAGATGAAAAACAAATTTATCTCTAAAAATTATTTTAATTTTGACTCACAAACACGAGATGAGACACAGGCTATGTTGAAAATTGATGACGATATCACTTTGTTATCTTGATATCGATAAATGAGTGAGTTGTATGGTGTAGGCCCGAAACAAGATTCCGTACCGGCCAGGGAGTTTATCTTAAAGGTGTATCTCAGTTCTAATCCCGATCCCGACCGAATGTGCTACTCTCACTTTACGTGTGCGACAGGTCTGTCTGAATAACCGAGTGTATCCCGAGAAAACGTAGATTTTTCCTTTAAGTAGTGTTTTTAACGAACGATTTGGCGACAACTTTCGGCGTAACTCTTTCTCGTGCGCTTTGCAATGTAACTTTGTACCGCTCCAATGTATCAAACACACTATATCCGCGTAGTCATTTGTATTAACAGTAATCCGCTCGTGAAGCCATTTATTTTTTTTATTTAAGGTATTACACGAAGTAGCTACATCTTCTACCTGCGCGTAGGAAAATTTTATTTATGTGACAATTGATAGATTACTATTAATTTGTAGACTGGGGCTAGTTAATTGCAAATGAAGTTACAAGAATATTCATTTGGATATCCCATCGGGAAACGCGAAACCGTGTTCAAAGCAGTTGTGTCAGATTTGCAATATTCGGTACACTTTTACATAAGACCTCTGGCTTAATGAGGCTTTTGAGAGGCTTCTTTGATGTTCACTACGGCTAATTCAATAAGCTGCCCTTGGAGAAGAGAGAGAGTATATTGGATTTGAGCGAAGTACAACATTATTCCATTAAAATAGATCGATGTCTTCATCTGCGTTTCGCGCGTTATCCTTCGAGAAAGACGAGACCGACGATGATTCGGTTTGCGCGACAACG